CAGCCGGCAATTAAAATGTCCCGGCTGCGGTATTTGCTCTCCTCCCACTGTAAATATTTCTTGCCCAACTCCCGGCCCGATGCCACCCTTTATGTAAGTGGCACCGTGGCACCGTCCGGCCACCACGGGGCTCGGCCGTGCCGGCGGTGGTTGCCCCCGGTGCGGTGGCTGCGCGTGGTGGCCCCGTGGCTGGAGCCATCCTGTCCCACTGACACACTTTCTGCCCGTGGCCCCACGCGCTTGTGTAACACCACGGCCCTTAACCCTTCCCACCGCCGCCGCAGCGGGAGGGAGACCCGGCTGCACCCCAACCTCCCGTGGGGGTATTTGGGGTATTTGGGGACATTTTGGGGTATTTGGGGACATTTTGGGGTGATACCTTGAGCCAGCCCTGGGGACACCCGTTTGCCGCCCTCCGTGGGGGAGGTAGGTCAATCCCCCAGGACACAGGTCCCGTGTCACCCCCCAGACCTGTGTGTGTCCCCCCCTCCAGCTCAGCACCGTGGGTCCCAACCCAGGCAGGTGGCTCCAGTGGTTTCAGCAGAGCCAGAGCCACCCTCCTCAGAGCAAGACTCGGCCTTCCTCCCGCCCCGGGCACACCCTCCTCTTCCATCACCTCCGCCCCGAGAGCAGGCCATCCCTCCTGCACCCCAAAACAAGGCAGACCCCAGAGGATCCAGCCATGGGGGTCTGCATCCTCCCTCCCTGGCACAGGGGCCATGGGTGTCCCCATCCTCCTCCTCCTCCTCTTCCTCCCCCTATCGCTCCCCTTGGCCTTATTTTCTCACTGTTGGGGGGAGGGAAATCAGGAATCACCCCAAAACCATCAGCACCCCACTGAGCCCTGGGACATGCTGCAACCCCTCAGTTGCTTGAGGCTTTTTAGAGCTGCCCCCCCTCCCACACCCCACACTGGCTCCATGGGGCTGAGTGTCCCTGGCTGAGGGGGGAGGACCCCGGGGAGCATGAGGGGTGGTTTAGGGGGCACTGGCAGGTCCCTGCGGGGATGGGAGGAGTTTTGGGGGGCACTGGCCGGTCCCTGCAAAGCCTTTGGTGCAGGCCCCCCCATGGGGTGAGCCTGCACACCCTTCACCCATGGGGCTGGGTCAGGATTTGGCCACCCCCAGCCCTGGGTGGGCTACCTGAGGCCACGGGAGCAAGCCCACCCCACATCCTTCCCCCCAGGTCCTGGGTGCCTTTCGCCTGGGTGGGGGGAGCAGCCCAGCTCCGGGTGTTTCGGAGGTGGCTCCGTGCCCCCGTGGCCGTCCCTGCCCCAAATCCCCCCTGGGTTGCCGGGGAGAGCCCCGGGGCAGGCGGCTTCCCCGGTGCCCTGCCTCATTACCCAGCGAACCTGCTGGGAAAGTAGGTCTGTGCCCCATCCCGCTGCCGCGATCGATGCCGCAGGACGGGCACCTCCGGTAATTAACAGCAGCCCCGCAGCCCTCCCTCACCTCCCCTGCCCCAGCCAGGGCTCGGGGGTGCTCTGATGCTCTGCCACCACCTCTGATGCTCTGCAACCATCTCTGATGCTCTACCACCACCACCTTCTCCCCTCCGGCTCCACATCCCCCCCACTGCACCCAGAGCAGGGGGAGAAGGATGAGTCCAGGCTCCCCAGGGACCCCCAGGGACACTCAGGGACCCACGATGCCGTCCCACCTCCCCATCCCTGCCCCAAAATCCAGCTTTGCTCCTTCATTCCCAGCAGCAACCTCCGATCCCAGGTCCCAGCGTCGCTCCCGCCTCCGGGAGCCACCACAGCAATTAGTGGCTGTTCCATTTTGGGAAGGTGGCCATGGGGTAGGGTTGGCAGAGGAGGAATAAATAGGTAAATAAAGGGGACGATCACCCCTTTGACATCCGCTGTGGGGTTTACTTTTAAACGGGCTCCCACCCTGCAGCACCCTGGGGTCACCCCCCTATTTTGGCTGTCACCGCCGGCAGATCCCACCCCACGGGGAACCCCGAAGGGGATGGGGATGGTTTGCAGCGTGTGGCTGGCACGGCACCGGCTCCAGGCCCCAGGGGCACCGGCAGCACCGGGGCCACGTGGGCAACTGACCGGCTCCATAAGGAAAATTTAAATTACACACCTCCCGCTCCGCACGGGGCTGTGACGCTGGAGGTGGGAACTTTGGCTGTCACCGCCGGCAGATCCCACCCCACGGGGAACCCCGAAGGGGATGGGGATGGTTTGCAGCGTGTGGCTGGCACGGCACCGGCTCCAGGCCCCAGGGGCACCGGCAGCACCGGGACCACGTGGGCAACCGACCGGCTCCATAAGGAAAATTTAAATCACACACCTCCCGCTCTGCACGGGGCTGTGACGCTGGAGGTGGGAACTGGTTGGGTTTTTTTTTTCTTAATTGATGAGCAGAGATTTCCTGGAAACTTTGAGCCAAAACGGGGCTTGGCTACTCTCCCCCAGCCCCATGGTGGCCCCCGGCCACTTTTGCTTGTGGCCACACGGCCGGTGGCTTCACAGCCACCCCCATCCCCAGCGAGGTGCAATTTTTTCTGTGTTTTTCCATAGTTTTGTGTGTCCCCAGCTTGGGAATCGGTGGGTGGGTGGGCAATGAGGCTCCCCCCATGGCCACCCGGTCCCTGCCCCCCCCCCTCCCCGGGCTGTGCCGGTTCACCGGCTCCCGTGCCACGCGGCACCGTGCCAAGGCCAGCCCCGGGACACAGCCCTTTGCACTTTGGCTGGCACAGGAGGGTGGCAGAGATGGGGCGGTGGGGAGGGGGACCTGCCACCAGCCCGGCGTGGGGACAAACGGGGCTGGGGTGGGATAATTCGGGATGGGGTTTGGGGGGGGAATTATCTCCGTGGGGGGCTAAATAAAGGCAGCGAGAGCGGCTCCGCTCACCACATCCACTAAACCGGGCGCGATTTAGACATTAGCGGCTCTTTAAATAGCCACAGGGGGGTTCAAAGGTGAAGGTGCCAGGGAGGAGGGACGGGCAGGACGGGCAGGGGACACTGCCAGCATGGCCACGGCCGTGGCTTTAACCCCCTGCCACCCATGGGGACAGGGACCAACATCTCCCCATCATCACGCTTTCCCCCCTCTTGGGCTCTGCTGCTGCTCCCTGGGGTTATCAGGGTCAAGGATCCCAAATCCTGGCTGGCTCCTTGTGGACCCCACGCTGCTGGTGGCCACCACCCTTCTCCTCCAACCTTCATTTTGGGCGGAAAAGGGTGAAGACCATCCATCACCACCCACATCCTGCCATCCCCAGGCCATCGTGCGGGAGGGCCGATGGGTGCCAGCCGCCCTGGCCGCTGCCTGCACGCTGCCGAAACGGGCAGGGAAGCTCCTCCTCCTCCTCCCTCTCTCTGATTTTTTTTTTTTTTTTTTTTTTTCTCGGAAAGGCTGCCGAGCCACCGCACGCTCCGAGCCACGCCGCTTGCAAAACAAGCGAGCAGGAGGGCTGGAAACCCTATAGGATTATACAAGGCAAAGCCTCTTGCCCGGCACGGCCGCAGCGAGGGGAAGGACAGGAGCCAGGAGCCACTGTGCCCCCTCCTCAGCCCAGGAATGGGGCAGAATGGGGACGGTTTTGGGGGAGAAAAGGGAGATGGAATCAATTCAAGCGTCGCCATGCGGCACTCGGGTTTTGGGGAGAGATGGGCACCCTGCGCCGGGCAGGGCTGGGGGAAAAACACCCAATGGGGGAAAATGATGGGATATCAGGGGGTTTGGCCCTTAAATTAGTGCAATATACAGTAATTAAGGGGGGAAATGGAAAAAAAAAAACTTAAAAAAAAAGTTCATCCAGCTGCTAATTAAGCCCGGTGCCGGCTGTGCAGGAGCTACGCAAGAGGCAGGCGGTGTTATTAATTAGGCAGGCGTTAATGTTTCCCTCCGTACTAATAAAGGTGAAATCCCGGGATGTGAGGGAGCGGGAAGGGGACGTGGGGGGGTCGCCTCGGCCAGCCCCCCCGTTACACAAGAGTGCGGCGGGGGGCAGAGCCGCAGCACCCGCAGCCGCGCCGGGGAGGGGGGAAAAGCCATGGGTGGGAGGCAGCTGGGAGATGTCCCTCCCCGTAGGTCCACCCCAAAATACCCCAAAACCTCGCACCCACAAACACACCTCAATACGTGCACCCCAAAACCCACACCTCAAGACGTGCCCAAGGGGGTGAAGGGCTCCAGCACTTCAGGTGATGATGGAAAACGGCTTTAAAGGGGGATAAAAATCCCACCCCGGGGTGGCAGGTCCCAGCAGCTCCCTTGGGGACGGGGACAGCTTGGTGTGGCCACCACTGCGTCACCATCACCGGGCCGGATCGGCCGTCCCGCCGGAGCCTGCCTTCCTTCCTCCCTCCCTCCTCCTCCTCCTCCTCCTCCTCCTCCCAACCGCCTGCTTTGCAAAGCAGAGGGGTGAAAGGTAGGAATTGCCTTTAATAAGGGATAAAATCAGGCAGGAGCTGGCGCGACCCTTCCCTGGATAAGGGGCACCTGAAATCACGGCTGGTCCCTCACCCGTCCCCCCCCCCGCAGGAGGTTCCCTCCGGCCCCGAAGCGCCCCCAAAACCACGGGGAGGGGGAAAAGGGGGGGAAAAAAAACCCACAATAAATCCAGCCCTGGTGGGAGCAACATATTGAAGAGGAGATTAAGGGGTTTAGTGCGAGGAAAAGCTTAAGAGCGGGTCTAAGCCGGCATCGGGAAGCGAAGCAAAATAAACAACAATTTTTATTCCTAATGAAGGGGGGGGAGCCGGAGCCCCCAGACCGACCCGGGGGGGCTGGTGCGGGTCCCCCCGCCCGGGCTGATGCGGGTGTCCTCCGCCGGGAACCACCGATACCGGGGTCCCCTCCGTGTCCCCCGACGGGGACGAGGCGGGTCCCCCTCCGGCGGGGCTGTGCGGGTCCCCCCCCCCGCGTCCCCCGGCGGGGCTGCTGCCGGGTCCCCCTCCGTCCCTCCCCGGGGACAACTTTTCCCGCAGTCGGGGGGTCCCCCCGCTCTCCCCAGCTCCCCCAATTTCCCGCACTCACCTCGCATGGTGGCCGGCGGCGGTCAGGAGCGCGCCGGGGCCCCGGTTCTGCCCGCCCCTGGGAGGGCCCTGCCGGTACCCGGCCTGTCCCGGCTCGCCCGGGCACGGGGCCGGCTGCGTGTCCCGCTGAATCACGGCGGCTCCTTGCTTCATCCCGCTCCCCGCGATGTGTCCCCCCCCTCCCCCGCCCCCTCCTCGGGGTACCCCGCTTGGCACAGGGACCCCCGGTACGGCTGCGTGTCCCGCTGAATCACGGCGGCTCCTTGCTTCATCCCGCTCCCCGCGATGTGTCCCCCCCCTCCCCCGCCCCCTCCTCGGGGTACCCCGCTTGGCACAGGGACCCCCGGTACCATCCCGGGTTGGGACGGGGTGGGGGGGGGAACCCTGGAGAAGGTGCAGACACCCCGGCTCTGGGTGATGGGGGGGGATGGAGGAAGAGTGGGGAGTCCCCAGCAGCCCCCCCCCGGTGTCCCCACGTCGTGGGGACATCAAGGCTGGATGACCTGGGGTTCAGAAAGTGGGCGGTGGGAGCTCTGGGGGTGGCAGGGAGCCATTCCCACCCCCTCCTTCGTGCACACAGGGGGCTCCGGGGCCCGGGGTGGTGTCCCGGAGAGGGGGGTGCTCCAACACGCTGCTGCTATAAACGCAGAGAAATCCCTGCTCCTGACCACGCAACGAGACCTCGTGGTGCAGCACCAGAGGGTTTGGCACAGGGCAAAGCCCCACTGGGGTTTGCGGTGCCACTCTGGTCACCAGGTCACCAGAGACCCCATGGTGCCACATCAGAGGGGTGCTCCACGTCACGGCCAGGGGTCAGGGTGTGAGGGATGCAATGCTCAACAGCACCCGGGGATGCCTGGGGCAGAGGTGGCACTGGCCTGGAGACCTGCTGTGTTCAGAGATGGCATCTACCATGGGCATGGACATGGCATTCACCATGGACATGGGCATGTCACCCTCCATGGATATGGTGCCACCATGGACATGGCACCCATCATGGAGATAGGCATGGCATCCTCCATGGACACTGTGCACCATTGACATGGACATGGCATCCGCCATGGACATGACATCCACCATGGACACAGGCATGGCATCCTCCATGGACATGGTGCCACCATGGACATGGCATCCACCACGGACATGACATCCACCATGGACACAGGCTTGTCATCCTCCAATGGACATGGTGCCACCATGGACATGGCATCCACCATGGACATAGGCATGTCATCCTCCATGGATATGGTGCCAACATGGACATGGCATCCACCATGGACATAGGCATGTCATCCTCCATGGATATGGTGCCAACAGGCATCCACCATGGACATGGGCATGTCATCCTCCATGTACATGGTGCCACCATGGACATGGCATCTACCATGGCATCCACCATGGCATCCTCCATGAACACTGTCCACCATTGACATGGACATGGCATCCACCATGGCATCCTCCATGGACATGGTGCCACCATGGACATGGCATCCACCATCGACATGGCATCCACCATCGACATAGTCATGTCATCCTCCATGGATATGGTGCCAACATGGACATGGCATCCACCATGGACATAGGCATGTCATCCTCCATGGATATGGTGCCAACATGGACATAGCATGTACCATGGCATCCTCCATGAACACTGTCCATCATGGACATGGACATGGCATCCACCACGGACATGGCGTCCACCACGGACACAGTGTCCACCACAAACACAGACCTGGCATCCACCACAGGCATGGATGTGGCACCTGCCATGGGCATAAGCAAGCCACCAGTCATGGCCAGGGGCAAGGTATGGGCATGGACACCACATCAGCCATTGGCACAGAGGTGGCATCCACCACAGGCACAAAGGCAACCACCACCATTGTCACTCATGTGGCATCACTGCCTCCTCCCTGGCCCCCTCTGCCCTCATGGTTGGGCTCTGCAGGGGGCACCGCAGCCCCCAAACCCTTAAATTAAACCCTGTGAGCACAGATGAGGAGGGCAATTTCAACCCCCATCCATCCCAAAGCCCTGAGGGGCTGAGCTGGGGGTGCGGGGACCTGAGGAAAGGGACTTGGGGGTGCTGGTGGATGAGAAGCTGGACATGAGCAGGCAGTGGGCAGTTGCAGCCCAGAAGGCCAATCCCATCCTGGGCTGCATCAAAAGCTGCGTTGCCAGCAGGTCCAGAGAGGGGATTCTGCCACTTTGCTCTGCTCTGGTGAGACCTCACCTGGAGTATTGTGTGCAGGTCTGGAGCCCTCAATATAAGAAGGACATGGACCTGATGGAGAGGGTCCAGAGGAGGGCCACGAGGATGATCAGGGGGATGGAGCACCTCTGCTACGAGGACAGGCTGAGGGAGCTGGGGTTGTTCAGCCTGGAGAAGAGGAGGCTCCGGGGAGACCTAAGGGCAGCCTTCCAGTACCTGAGGGGGCCTACAGGAAGGCTGGGGAGAGCCTGTTTAGAAAGGGCTGCAGTGACAGGACAAGGGGCAATGGCTTCAAGCTGGAGGGGAACAGATTTAGACTGGAGATGAGGAGAGGGTTCTTCACTGTGAGGGTGGTGGAGCACTGGGACAGGTTGCCCAGGGAGGTGGTTGAGGCCCCTTCCCTGGAGATATTCAAGGAGAGGCTCGACGAGGCCCTGGGCAACCTGGTCTAGTTGGGGGTGTCCCTGCTGACTGCGGGGGGGTGGGACTAGACGGCCTTTGGAGGTCCCTTCCAGCCTGGGCAATTCTATGATTCTATGCTGGGCCAGGGGCAGAGGGGTGTCCCCCCCCCTCTCCTGGCAGTGGCAGACGGATGGCAGGGCTGAGCCGTGGTGGCACTTTGTGTGCTCCCACCCGAGTTACTGCCTCGCTCTGCTCTGGCGCGGGAGCTGCTGTTGGTTGGGGAGGGGGATGCGGGGGGGGGACACACACCGAGCTGCCTGCCGCGCTCCAGTGCCGCTGTCTGACACGATTTTGCTGATGGCGATGGGGAATGGGTTGGCTGCTCTCGCCGGTCGCGTTGGCTCCTTCCTCCCGGCTTTCCTCCCTCCCTCCTCCTCTCCGCATGGATGGGCACGCAGACGGGACGCGGGGCGACATCTCGCCTCGGTCTTTACAAGCTCCGCTTCCAGCGGGGCTTCTGCAAGCCCAGCCCCCCGAAATCCCACCCCGGCACACATCTCCAACCGGCTGGGTCGGCGGCGTGCGCTGTGAGGCCGTTGCCCATCCCTGGAGGTCACCGGTGCTGCCCGAAGGAGGTCAGCCTCGTTTGGCCCATTTCACAGATGGGGAAACTGAGACTGGGAGCAGCGCGGTGACTCTGTGGGGCATGCCGGGGTCCGGCCCCAGCGAACTCGCCCCTCCCGAAAGGCGGTCGCCGGCTCGCCTGGCGTGGCCCCGATTGCCGCTGTTGGGATGGTCGGTCGTGGCCAAATCACACCAGAGCGAGAGCGACAATACTCCCCGAGAGCACCGGCGCAACCCAAAAGTATGAGGTTACACAAGCGGCACCACGCCTGCCGTGAGCAACGCCGGATCCACGCACCCGCCACCAACACCAACACCCTCTCCTTAACCCTTCCCGACCTCCAGCGCCGACGGCGTCGGTGGGGGACAGTCCAGGGGGACGAGGAGATGCTGTGGGGCCACCCGTTGAAGGGCTGAGACTCAGCCCCGTGGCTTTGGAGCTGCAGGGGAAGATGTGGGGAGGTTCTGCCGTGTCCCTCCTGGGGGTTACGGGAGCTGCACCAGGGCAGGACCTTCACCTTGACCAGGGTCTTGCTCTGCAGACTTGGCTGGGCTTAAACTGGGGTCTTGGTCCCAGCAAAGAACTGATGTGGATCCAGTTCTTCAGAGGTGACAGTTGTAACAGGTAACCCCAGTTACCCTGGGGTAATATTTGCCCCCCCCCCAGAGAGGAACCGCCCCCCACTCCCCTTGCCCAGGGCTGTCGTGCATGTGGCAGCTCTGGAGGTCACCAAACCTCCCCTGAAAGCCATCTCCCCCTCCACGCCTGGCTGGGGTGATGCTCCACTCGCAGCCGCTCGGTGTGGAGATGCCAACCCTGGCATTGACTGGTCCTGTCCCCAGAGACGGGGAAGGAGCGGGATTGGGGGGGGCAGAGCTGGTGCCCGGGCTCAGCGCCGGGAGCTGCACCGGCCCCGGGGGATGCCGTGGGATGTGTTGTGTGGGGCTGGATCCAGCCCATCACCAGCAGCACCAGCAGCCCCAGAAGGAGGTGGCCGCTGGGAATGGATTAGAAGCAAAACCTCTTCCACCCTGCCGTGGTCCAGCCCTTCTCCATCCCCTCCTCCCCAGCCCGGCCTCGCCACCGGCTCTTTATGGTCAGAGCCAGGATGGATGCCGGGGCTGCGTCCCAGTGGCAACTGCCAGCCCCCCAGGACGGGCCCTCGGCTGGCCTGGAGGCGAGCAGGAATTCGGGATGACACCACCGCACCTTAATCACTGTTTGCTCTCGCCCACGCCCCACACAGCGAGAGGGGAACCTCTCCCCCCTCCGGCCAGCATCACCCCCAGCCCTTCACCCGCCTCCGAGACCACCGAGCCCCCCATCGGGGTTGGGGCTGCCCCCTACTCATGGAGCCCTGGCAGGGCTGGCTGGCACTGGGTGGCAGAGCTGGCCCCCGCGGTGGCTCTGCCGTGGGCTCCCCACGGAGGACGCTGCCTCCCCGTGACTCAGTTTCCCGTCGGGAATGGCTGACCTGCCCGGCGGGGAGTGGGTCACGGGGTGAACCCGCTGCCAGGGGCCGTGGTGCCAGCGTCCCCCAAACCTCATCCGTGGGTGCTGGTGCAGGGAAGTGCCCAGTGGCAGCCCCCAGCCCCAGTCTGGGATCGGGGGGGTGGTCCTGCCCCCCTGTGTGTGTGTGGGCAGCGAGGATGGGGTGGACTCAGGGGGGTCGTGGCACTTGCAACCACTGACCCTTAATGTGCCCCCCCAGCTGTGGGGTTAACGCCAAGGAGAACCCACGTTTGGGGACAGGGCACCCACAGCTTTGTCCCCTCCGTGGCACTGGTGTCACCC